CCTGCAGCTTGTTCAGAGTAGATTTAGATACCCCAGGGAGCAGAGCATTGCAGTAGTCAATTCGAGAGAATACAAATATGTTGATCAGCTTTTCAGCCACAGTTAATGATAGCATAGGGCGTAGTCTTGCGATATTTCTAAGGTGAAAAAAAGATGAGTATGGCACAGGTGTGTAGACTAATATCCTTCACTGCTGTGGACAGCAGCCCAATCAAATGGGCGGGATTATCTAGTCACTACAGAACTCCACTTGTAATAATTGATGGCAGCGTGAATTCATAGCACTGTATTAGTTAAGTGCTGAGACCTCACATACTACCCTTCCTGTGGGCTTATCCCGACGTACTGAATCTTCCTGCTGCACAAACTTCATTTAACAATTTCTTGTGAGATGCCCAACTTGCCAAGCCTAAACTCTATTGAACATTTGTTGGATGGGGTGGAAAGGGATAATGTGTGGCATCTAGGGCTCAAAGACCTGTGATCTGGGAACATGTGTTTAGAGGAATGGGACAGAATACCACAAGACATTAGATTGCAAATTATTATATTACTTGCTTCAGTGGCAACGTGTACTACTAGTCTTTGACTTTCACAACGGACCCCCTAGTAGGGATGCACAAAGTCACAGAGCAGTTCAATGTAGTTTTAAAATAAGTTTATTACGAAAAGACCCTCCAGAAAGTTGAACAGAAAGCATCAACAAATTCTATGTTCTTTTATACAGTACATGGAAAATCTTACATTGTCACACATCTCTCATAGCCTAAATGCAATCCTGTCATCGACAATGTCTCACAACAGGTGTATTGCCTGCTTTCATAACTTTAATCAACTATGTTTAATTGAAATATACACTCTGTTAATTGCAATATGAATCAATATAACCACATTAACCTGTATGGTATCTGTTAAATAAAATGTCAGTACACCTGCCACAAAAAATAATGTAATAACTTTCTGATTGTAAGATGTTTTGCATCTATGTATATATTTTCTTGTTTTTCTCTTTTACTTTGCTTTGTTCTGAACGCTTTCCTTTTGATTTGTACAAATGTAAATAATTTTTGTAAAATTGTATCATGTCTTGATTTTTTTATATAAAGATTAATGGGTTGTTCCATGGACAGCCTGAAGTTTGTAGCATCTTGGAAAAGCAGAATCACGGAGGCAAAGCTGCAGGTTAAGGTAATACAAAAAAGTGGTCACATATTGCAATTATTAAAATAAATTAAAAACAAATGTCATGGAAACTCAATAAAATTATATCTGTTCACTCTTCTCACAATACCTCATATGCCTTTGTTTTTCTTTAGCTGTGGTTCAGAAGCTCAGGTCACAAAGTTTGTCTTGGCCCTCTGTGGGTGTTTTAATGTTATTGTTTGAGTTTACCTCATTGTTAAGGACTATTATTCCATCTCTGTATTCCTAGACTCCATAGGCTACAGTTTTCACCAAAATATTCAGGAGATAATTAAAGGAAATGACCACTGGCATGGAGAATTCCCATTCACTGAAAATGTTGGTTTATCCTGTGTTATAAACTGGAGACAGTCTCTTTAATTCAAATTGGTCACAGGACTTGGCAACAGACTGTTGGCATGTGGTGTTCATTTAAAATATTTTGTTACTCTATCATTACGGTTTCTGATACCATCTCCTTACTTTTTTTTCCATGTAACACATTTTGAATCTTTACCTTTTTGTCCTTTTTAAAAAGGAAGGGTCTTATTTATGAATCGTTTATTGTTTCTAACACAAAACAATAATCTGTATTGCTAAGAGATCTGGAATATTACTCAGAAGTTGTGATATCTTCTTTCTAAAAGTGTTCTTTCCTGAAAAATGCATTGAATATTTCATCTGATGGTTAAAACTATTAATCTAGTTTATGATAACTAAAGTCCATTAATTTATTCTTAAAATATTAACTCTTGTATCTGAATATATATGGATGATACAACTATAGCACTCTTATAGGAAAAAAATTGTTTGTTTTGTTTATCTGGTTTGCCTTGTATGCTGCAGTTAGTCAAGCTTTCCATTATTATTCCTCTTAATACTTTTTAATCTGGCACATGCTTTCTTCTACGCTGTCTTGAAAAACTTAGGAATTTTTGAATAAGCAGAGCAGGATGAACACTTGGTTTTCCTAATGGGTGGTTATTTCCAATATGTCATAGGTATTTAGGTCACAGGAAAACACAACACATCATAATGATATTTATGATAATGGAAATGTGTAAACGTACTGTTTATCACTCCCTCTCCTGATTCTTGAGAGGAAACAGGGATGTGTTTTCTTCATTTTCTGTGATTACCCATTGTTGTAGGACTTCTGGTGTCCTGAAGGTGCATTGTTTTCACTAATCGGGACTGGAAACCTGTGGTCTGATTGCTAATTGCATTTACAGTGGTTCCATTGCACCATAAATTGACCACAGGAACTGAACAATAACTATGGAATATGTATTTATGTTTAAGGCCTTTGTTTGATTATGAAATTTTCTCTATTTTGTCTAATTTAAATGTTAGCATCTTTTATGGATTCAAATTGTGCCCATCTCTCACGTTGTAGAAAAAATGTTTTTTGACTGGTTTTTAACAAAGTTACTTGCTATTTGTTAAGAAGTGTATTAATAAAGAGGTTTAATTAGGGATCAGCATGTGAGCTGCATATGAACAAGTAGACATTAATTATTCTCTGAAGAGTAAAAAAAAGTCACTATTGGAAAGATCCACAGCCAAAATGATTTTTTTTTTTACTTTTCACTCTCTACTACTCACTGTGGAATCAACCTCTAATTGTTCAATTACAATTAATGTATTTTCTGAACTTAAGTCCCCATGCTTCTGTTTGTTGATTTTCCTAAGGTATAAAGTGTTTTGATATACATGTCATGTCAATGTTTCAGCCTCAGTTTTTCTCTTTCATTTTATGTTAAACAGTTGTTGAATTAATATAATTGCTGAAGAAATTAAAGTATCATAAACAGTATATATTGAAACAATTGTGTGGAAGATAAGCATTATTCTCTAATTCCTCTGAATACTGCACACAATAACCTGTTTAGAAAGTCACTATAATTGCCCAAAGTGACCACCACTGGAAGCTTGAGGTTGTTATCCATGGAGGAGTAATATTTGTAAGCCTGGCCTTTAATAAAAATGTATTATTATTTGCTGTGTAATCTAACCTTGCCGGCGGAATTTGCCCTGCTTTGGTGTTCCTGTGGTGCCAATGGACGTGAGTCAAAACAAATCAACTGGTGTGAGGCTTGTTAATATAAATAGTGACATTTAATGTTCACTGTCATTTGTAAATATTTTATGTTTTCATGGCAGATTGATGGCTTGAAATTGGAAGGATGTAGTTTTGACGGAAACCGTCTTTCAGAGAACCAGCATGACTCTCCCAGCGTGTCACCAGTGCCCCCTTGTTATATGGCCTGGATTCCTCAGGTACTGAATTATTTAGTCTTTTAAACCTTTAACTTCCATTACTGGCCTCAGTGTCTTATCTCTCTCACACAGTGCGTTCCCAGAGCCCTGCTACTATCATAAGTGCCACTTAATCCAATTGATGATGTCCTTAATAGGCTTTTCAATAAAACATATATTTCTGTACTAAAAAAGAAAACTCATTATTAGTAAAAAAAAAAACATATATGCACAGTATCAATGTACAATTATAGTTTCGGTATTGTGTTCTTATAAATCTGGACTGAAAAAAGCAGGGAAAATATGTAGACTTTGCAATTGCGTATTCAAAACATTCAGTAGTTTGCAGAAGGAACTATTTTGATAGAAGTACTAAATGTTTATTTGTTGGCTCAAATGAACAAAACATATTCAGGTGATGTAACAGATTGTTGATGCATGTGAGGGCTTAAAATGCAGAAGAACTTTTTTTTTTTCATTTATACTTCTGAAACTGATCAACAGGTGGAATTTAGAAATTCTTTCATTCAATATGTTATCTAATGATTATAGCCTCCTGAAGTCATTTAAAGGACAGATCCATTCTCTACATACTTCAGTTATAACTCGTTTTTTCTGTTTGTCAATTCAGTATCTTCAAGTTCCAGACTGTAGGGGTACAATAATATAGCAAAAGGACAGTTTGTTCAAAGTTCATTGTTTTCATGTCTCTTTACTTCCTGTTTTCAAGTATTTGTTCCTGTGAAGTCTTGGCTCATATAAGTTTGCTCTTTTTTAAATAAAATACCAATGCCACTGTTTGAGTTTCCCTACATATCTCATATCCCACAACCATGGAGGAATTTGCTAGGAGGGAGACTGGAATAACAATAAGAACTCGAGAGGAAATAATAAATAAGATTTAGCAAGGAAATGTATTGCCTTTTGTTTTTCGGTTTTAAGAGAACGTAAATTACATGATATAGAGGTGTGGAGTGAGAACAAGAGAGTTGATAAGAGTGCATGAAATGTTTCTTTTGCATTTTGAAGAGCAATATTTGTTTACAGAGTCCCGTCACCTGTTACATTTTTTTACAGCTGCTGTCTTCATTTATTTAGCCCATTTTGGGCTCCCTTTGGGTTTACTATTGAAGTGTACTCTAATGAGACCTGATTAACACGGAAATGAGATAAAAAAAACAGGTGGCAGATTATTGATCTCATTCTTTGATGTTTTCACCTTTGTGACTTTGTTTGATGTAGTTTTAAAGAAGTTTGTTCTGAACACACAGCTCTGTAATTTCAGTAAAAGCCTAGAATATAAGAAAAGGGCTTTTGGCCAATGTAGTTTGGTTGCTAGCAGCTGATTGAGCTAAGGATCTCACCTAGGCTTTTCCTGAAATAAGCTTGGAACTACTACTTTCTACTTTGACAAAGATGGCTGGGTGTGCAGATTCAGACCCCTACACCTCTGTACAAACAAATTCCATCGCTTACCCAGTTTCTACCTGTGTCCTCTGGTTTCTGTTTTACTCTTGTTTCTAAAGAAGGCCATTCGGCTCAGTTTGTCAGAGCTTTTGAGGATTTTTAATCCTTCAGTCAGGTCCCCTCAGAATTGTCTTTCAGTTCTTTGACCTGTCAGTTTAAGACATTTCTTTCAATTTGGAAATTAATCTTTTATGAGGAACTTTGTGCTCTGTTTGTATCCATTACTGCTGTTGGAGAAGTGGGTTTTCATGTCTTAGATATATCTAGGTAAGGGAGTTAAAAACTTAAATGAAGCTAAACTTTCCTACAGTATTTCTTTAAACCCTTTTCATCCTGCAGCCCAGTTAAAGGTTGGAAAGTGGAAAATTCTTGTAAACTCTTGTAGTTCATAAACACTTGTAAAACCTTGTGATTTATTCTAATTGTCAGCAATCATTTATAGTATACAGCAGCTGGAGCTTTCATGATTTTATAGTCTTTAACTGAAAAATCAGTTATATCAGACTAAAATGCAGGTCTTTGATTTTCTAGTGGCTGTAATGGTAACATATTACTGCTAGGACTTTTGTCATGTTTTCATATTACATTTATTTTTAATACTCTTCCTTTTCCTCTTCCTATTGTGTTATTATGTGATACTGAAACAGAGTGCCAGTGGATGCTACTCTCCTGAAGAATGCATCTCGTTGCCTTTGTACACAAGTGCAGAGCGAACACGTGTGGTAACCAACATCGATGTGCCCTGTGGGGGAAACTCTGACCAGTGGATCCAGTGTGGGGCAGCACTGTTTTTAAAACAGCAGTAACATTCACACAGCTGGGTAATAATACTCTAAATAACTATAATATCTGTTCGAAAGACATGTATTAATGTCGATTCCAATGTATAATTTAATGTTTTAATACTTTACAAATTGATTACTGTCTGGCGTTCATGTTTTTGCATTTGTTTATAGTGACTCCTTTATGTATAAAATGTGATTTCAGTGAAATGGCAGTGATGAGCTTGGATCAGATTGAATAAAAGATTGTTTGAAAGTTCTGCCCAATACATTACGCAAACATTAATATCTGAATTTGTTCGACTATTTTTTGTAAAATCCAAAGGTATTAGCTGGTGTATGGTGAGATGCTTTCTTAGAAAGTCAAGATGCTTAGTTTGTATAATAGTCCTCTCCTTTTTCTTCAGACCTGATTAAAACAATACTCTTCTTTTTCAGTTTTTTTGAATAAGACTGTTAAGTTATTGGGAATATCATTTATGACAAACCTGTTCATAGTCTTGGGTTAAAAAGACTGCTAAATAAATGAAACACTTCATACTGTTTATACTCTATAAAAATATCTCTTTACTGTGTGCTACTTTACTGTATAAACAGTATCTTGAACTATGACCAGATTCAATGTACTCCTGTTATTTCCCAATTATATCTTAAAAATTGTAAAAAATATTAAACAAATGACTTGTTATTGAGCTGCTTCTTTCTTTTTAATACTGTACTTTCAAAAATTTATTTTAATGTGTTAGTACAAAAAGCAAGTTAATCAGATATTCTACAGAAAAGTTTAGCACCACATAAAGTATCTGATATATGGTGTGGAATCTACAAGGTGTCATCTACCATTTACTGTATGAAAGGTATATTTTGTTCACTGTACTGCCAGAATAGTGTGTAAAGTATATATAATGAGTATATATGGTACATGCAAATTTAATTACATTTCTCTAGTGTTTTAGTGTCTCAGTTTGTCGGGGATAATGAGAGATCTTGTTTTTAATGAAGCTGCTGACTCACCAAGACTATAGCCCAAAATGTTTTTTTTACATTTCAACACATGCCAAAAGGTTTTAGATGAGTGTTCAGTTTACTGTCTTGTGAAGAGTGGGTTTTCATGTCTTAGATATGTCTAGGTAAGGGAGTTAAAAACTTTTCCCATAGATTCCTTTCTAAGACAATAATTGCCACAGCCCTGCAACTGAGTGCCATTAAGTAAAGTTTTTTGCAATCATGTTCATAAGTTACATTATGCAAATAACCAATATTAATATTTTTCATGCTGAACATAAAAGCATGTGACCTTAGACTAAGCTGACAGTTGCTTTGGGCTCTTCCAGTGCAGTCTTAATGGTAACATGTTTTAGCGACTCCCCGGCAGATAAAGATTTATTACCCTGCAGCTTAAACATGTAAATTTAAATACATTTCTCTAGTGTTTTGGTGTATCTATTTGTCTGGGAAGATGAGGGATCATGTTTTTAATGAAGCTGCTGACTCACCAAGAAATCTCAACTATTCTGGATTTAACAAAGCACTTCAAGGGTAGAAACAATGAATATAAACAACATTTGACATTGTATCTTGGTACAAAATTTTAGTCATGTGGCTACAAAGGTTTAGTCATGTTGCCATCTTGTTTTTCCCCCCAGTAGAGAAAAAGCTATTACTAGGAATATGTATTTGTCGTTGTTGTCCGTCTCTCCCCTCTCTATTCATCATAATTTAAACTGTCTAGTTTCTTTTGTAAATTATCCCTCTAGCCATTTTCTGACCACTTTATCCAATACAGGGTTGTGGTAGAGCCGGAGCCTATCCTGACAAACAACGGACACAAGGCTAGACAAACTCTACGCTGGACTTCAGGCCATTGCTGGGCAGACATAGAGATACAAACACAGACATACAGTAAACATGCACACAGTCACACCAGGGACTAAGTTCCCGATTAACATACTGTATATTTTTGGACACTAGATGGAAATCAGTCCTAACCTCTGTGCCTGCGTGCTGTCCAATTTCAAATATTTACTGCACAAAAAGAACTAAAAGTCTAGACCAAGCTTGTGGACCACTAGTATGTTAGTTATTTTTGTGTATGCTATGGCTGGGATTTTTTGTTGTTCTTTTTTTCTCCCATGGAACATATAATTAGTTGACTTGATGACCCCTGTATTTCAGAAAAATGAAGGCGAACACCTGGCATGGTCTTTGCTCAGAAGGGTGGATGTATGTCAATTCTTAAGACTCTAGTTTTGTTTAGTCTGTCTGAACGGTTTCCAGCCATGTGAAAGTGAAAATAACCTTAGTAATTAGGAAACCAAATGGTGAAAAGCAAGAAAACTTTATTTTTTTTAATAGAGAGAAGGAAAGAATGTACTGTAATAGCTGCTAGTGTGGAAGGTAATGCATTAAAACGGAACAAATAATCTTGGGAAAACATTAAACATATGTTAATGAGAATGGAATCATGACAGATAAACCTCAGGGTTCCTTACAGCTTAGCAAATGCTCACCAGTTGATGTGAGTTATAGTTTCACTCTAATCAGCCAAGTAAAGAGATGCCATAGTGAAAAATAATGCCTTGATTTTAAATAGTTCTTACATTTCTAGCAAATGTTTGAGCACTTAAACTTATGTATGAACGTATGGACCTCTCAGATAGCCCTATTTATTATGACTATGTAAGTAAGGTTTATACACCTTTTTAGTGTACATACTGTATAAACCTTGATCATTTTTTTATTATTAACATTATTGATAACTAAGCAAAGCTGGGCCTGTGTAAAACTGATAGGAGACCTCTTAAGGCAATAGAGGTTAAATAAAACTTCTATAAAAACACTTAGGGATACTTTGGGAGGAGAAATACGACATGCATGCTAGTCTGATTATTTCAATTATTATTAAGAAATGGACATTTAAAACGCAGATGCAATGGAAAAGACGTCTTTAAAATGCTTAAACTCAATTTCATAAAGAGAGGCAGGAGTTAAATCAATTTCATAATGAGTTAAATACCCTCTTTTTCTGAACGTGATGTAAAGTATCCTCATAGCACAAACAGTGCATAGTGGTCTCTGTGGGAATACATGGGTGTATAGTTCTTGGTAATTGTCATAAATTACATTATATATCATACAGTATGTACTCTGTTACAATGGAAAAAATCTTTTCACTTTCACCCCTAGTCCCCTCCCTAATGATTAAGTGTGTGCCATTATGTTACTGTGAGGGTGTTGTCTTTTTTAAATAGCCTCAGGGGATAATTTTTTTTTTGGTGTAGTTGGATATAGTTTTAGTATAAATGGTGAATTTTCACTGGTTGAACAAAACAACCAGAAGTGGGCTTCCTGCTGGACTTAAAAAGTGTGAGGTACCAGTATTTCTGTATTTTGGATTGTATTGACTTGAAAATAAATAGTAATAATCCATAATCATGTTACAAATTGACCCTTCATTGTGCTACATGCTACAAAGAAGTATGTAATCATCAAACATTTTATAAGTATAAAATATTTACCAAGGGGGTATGAACTGATTCACAAACATGTCACCAGATGCAGCGTTGAAAAGCCCAGTCAAAATAAATATTCCACTTGGACTATTACATTTTAACTTTTGTGATTATTTGTTCAATCCCAAAGCAGTGCACAACCACATACCACATAACACATACTGTAAATCACCGTGGTATTATCACTGAAATATCTTAAAACAAAGGTACCATCCTTAAGACAGTTTCCAAGTTTCTCAAATTTCTCAATGGCTGTTCTGCATCGCTTTTGCTCGAAGTAATTTCTTTATTGTACAGTTCTTTTAAAAACCATCCAGGATTAGTTTTGATCAAATTAAGTGTGGGGGGCAAAATTTGCTACTTCAGCAGCAGCAAAACTCCTGTTTCCTGGATGTGGTACCCAGTGACTTTACTGAGACTCTGCAATTTCATTCTGCTCTGTGTGTGGAAAGGGTGTGCTTATGATAAGGAAACTATTTAAAATGTCTTTTGTAATTTACACAGGCAGTTTTACCAGTTTCTAAATGCAGAACTGTTCAGTTTCCCCTATCTAGAGTCCAAAGTCTTGCGTTCATGAATAATAGTGAGCTGTAATTAAATGTAAATATAGACAAGGGGATGGTGAACTGAATAGGAGATATCAGGCTTCTCAGAGGAAGCCAGTATGAAACAGTTGTAAGCTTGACAAACTGGCAATTTCAAGCAGCAGTGAGATCTCTTTTAACAGAAAACAAATTCTCTCCAGTAGTCGCCCCTGTAAAATACAAAACCCAAGTTATGATATTTGTTTTCTCTTGATTCATTGTCATGGTTTCTATATTCCTATAAATTGGAAGTGGAAGAGGGTCAATAAATTTGTGCAGTAGTCAGTGTCAGTCCTTGCTCTTTCTAATACCTTTTGCAATGTGTAATATACACCATTCCTATTTGACATATTATGGTTGAATGGATTCTCTCAAAAGCGTCATGTAATTTTCAATTTCACCCAGTGGTAATGCACTGCAGTATTCTTTTCTGGGGAATGATGGGGGAGGTGAGTACTGTTCTAGTTTATCACATATTACTCATAAAGTTGGATGAATGTGAGCCCAAGATAAAAAATAATAGAGTATAGGAACCTAAGAGCTGTTAACCAACAGTTTCTGTGTTTTTAAATGTCATAATTATTCTGAGGAGTCGGAATTCAGAGGTGTATAGCAATAGCTCTGGTATAACCTACCTAACGAGGATCACAATGAACTGTGCATGTGTTTAAAGTCTTTCTGAGCCTGACCATTATCTATTTAGGAAATGATCTGTTTATCATATACAGATGCAGCCACTCAGAACATGCCTTAACACTGATTGCTGGGTCAGACGTACTACAGCATGGCACTGTGTTATTTGGCTGTGTGGTTCCTTGGCTAAAGACAATCGATAGGAGGGCACTTAAAGTGTGTTAGATGGTAGTGAAACAATTGCTTCATTTAGTCTGCTTCCCTACTTAATATGCCTTCAACTTAATATGGAATGCTAATATGGAATAACAGAATGTGTCTAAAGTGAAATTGTGGTAGCTGAAAATAAAAATAACAAATGTATAACATCTCCGAACATCAGAAATTATATTAATAATATATCATTCTGCCGTAAAACAAATGTCTTGTACAAAAGATGAAATTTGTGAAATTTGAGGTAATAGTGATTTTATCTTTCCTTTCCTTGATAATCGCAAACTTCTAAAAGTCAGTGCCCTTGAAAAGCTGAACAAATATTTGGTGGTAATAAGCCTGAGAGGGAGGGTATGTCATCCTACACTGCACTTTATGGTTTCCAAGAAACAGCAAATCATGCCGTGCCAGGCTGAGTTATTACTCTACAGCAGCATCTCCCACCGTTTAATAAGGCATTTGTCATAGTTATTTATCAGTCTGTTATTTTGGGCAGATGAATAAACAGACACAGTTGAAATTAGGTAGTGAAGCCTGTTGTGACTAATTTTTAGTGTTGAAAAGTCTGTAATAATTCTCCTTATATAAATCACTTACTGTACAAAATAAATGCAAAGTATACCTGTAGGTTTATCACTTAAGGATTTCTGACCTTGCTCTATGTAAAGATGATGGGGGTCATACAAAGGGGCCATCACAGTTCATTAATTGTGAAAAGTTTGAAGTCAACGTATTGAACAGCTGTCAAAA